GCTCTCGATTCCGCCTCAATGGACCGCCGAGGGTGTAGGAAGCGCAGTTCCTGCTACCGAAATTGCCTCTTACGTCGACGCAACACCAACTGCTCCCGCTACAACTGCCGCGCCTACAGACTCTCAAGCTACCAACGACGCAGGCAATGCGCAAAATTCTACTCCCGCTTCGTCTGAGAGTGAGGGTGCCGCCAACAAAGTCGTCTCGAATCCACATACATCGGCCGGCATGTCGATATTTACCGCCATAATGTACTTCATATATGCTTTGTAACACAGCTTCGTGGCAGGGTACCGAGTTTTCTGGGGGTCTGATCTCTGGAATCTGGTCCCGTCTGACAGCGTTCTGAGACTTCGGTTACATGTCACAAGGCGTTCCGGTTAAAAATTGCATTGGCGGTGATATTCCTCGGATGGTATACGGATGACTCTGGGGATTTTTCCTTCTTATAATCCTTGGGTTGTGTATGAGCACTCTTTTTCGGCAGTTTAGATACCCTTAGGGAATATGCTTTTAGGGATTGCTAGGCTTGGAGGACACTAAGACTTCGTAATGCGTAATAGCTGTCTGTCCGGGAATCTAACCACCTCTGGTGTATACTCGGTTTGGTAGTCATCGCGCCCGGAATGTATAGATATTATCCTTAGCTATCTATCAGCAATTCGTGAAGTCGAACCACTTCTCCTTCGTCTGCCGATTCCCCAGGCTGTGTGATAGCCGCCGAGTGATACCACAGTACATTCGTTTGCTGCTTCAAAGTTTCGATATTCGTTGAACGCACGCCTCCCCCAAGAATAAATAAGATTCGAGAGCCAAACTGTTTTTGCAACTTGGTAACAGTTTGGGCTCCAGACCACGCGTCCACTTTCCCGCCAGAAGTGAGAATCGAAGTAAATCCGCATTCGATGACTTGCTCTGTTGCTTTTTCCAAATTCGATATTTGATCAAACGCTCGATGGAATGTGCAGGGTAGGGGTGCAGCAAGTCTAACTAATAGACGATTTCTTTCCATGTCCACATAATTGTTAGCGTCTAAGATGCCAAAGACAAAGCCGCTCGCGTGTGGTTTGGACTGTTTGATTTCGGATTTCATTTGTTCAAATTCGGCTGTCGAATACAAGAAGTTTCCTGGTCTGGGCCTGATCATGACATTGACTGGTTTTTCCGTTTGTCTGCGGACATCCTGCAACGAGGTCTGAGACGGGGTAACTCCGCCAGCTGCATAGTCGCTGCAAAGCTCAATGCGATCTGCTCCAGCTCTAGCGGCTGTGAGAGATGATGAGGTGTTGAAACAGGCGATTTCCAGCATCATTCATCAATGGATAGCTGTGGAAGGACAGTACAAGCGAAGACATTGGAGGTAAGGTGCCATGGAAAAGCAATGTAGGTTAAGCTTAATTAGGATAAGGTTAGCTGTACTCTGAACAAGTTCCGCATCTCGGGACTCGGAAAAGCCCATGTCACAACACGGACCAAATCACCATCAATGCAAAGTGTTCAAATGCTGAGTTAAACTGCGCCGTTCGCATCCTTCAACAAGACGGACCCCACCTAAAAGAATGCATTGCCGGCCATCACCATCATCATCATCATCATCATCATCATCATCATAAGCCGCCACCAACTGCCCCATCGCAAGGAATCAACTGCCCAAGCCAGATAGCCTTAGTGGCTGATATACTGAAACACAGCACTGACCTCATTACAGTCTGCTGCCGTCTCTTGTCTCAACAGTAGATCCTGTATCTTCCCCAATGGTCCAGCCTCGCCATCGTTTACAAAGTGATTCCATGTACTTGTATCGCCATACAACATGGCTGGGGCTTTAATCACTTGTCGTCCATCTTCTTTCCTACACCTTTTGCATTTGAAGGTATCGTGCGTATCGCTGGTTGTGCTTTCCCTATACTGGAATAACTCGCGCAACGAATCAAGACTGAAGTGGCGCTCAACGTCTTCTGATGCATCCACTACGCAAGATGAAAGAGACTGCTTGTGTGACTGGCGCTGGAAGATCTTCTCTTCAATAGTACCCGTCGCAACAAAGCGATACACAAAACAGTCTTTCTTTTGACCGTCACGCCACACTCTAGCTAGTGCCTGCTGATCAGCGGCAGGGTTCCAATCTGGGTCGAAAAGAACCAAACGATTAGCTCCAATCAAGTTGAGACCGCAGCCTCCGGCCTTCGAAGAGAGAAGGAAAACAAACTCAGAACCTTCGGGGTCATTGAATTTGTCAACTAACTTTTGTCGTTTGTTAACTTGCATTGTGCCGTCTAGCCGTAGACATCCGTATCCTCGAGCGCGACAGAGTTGGGCAAAAACATCTAGTGTTGTTGTGTAGTTAGATATGAGGACGATCTTATCATTTGTATTGGCTCGGATACGTGCGAGCATGCGGTCCAGGACTTGCATCTTGCCAGAATACCAAACCTTGACTTCGCGGTCTCTTCCACGGGCCTCCTTCGGAACAAAATCCTTTGGTAATATATTTTCGCACCCTGGGAGATCTTCAGGGAGACTTAGAAGATCAGGATGGTTACATAGCTTCTTGAGCATACCAATAGCCTTGAGCGGTTGGCTACCTTTTCCGCGGAGCAAACTCTTGATATCTGGGGATTGAATAAAGTGGTTGTATAGATCCCTTTGGAAAGGCGAGAGGTTGCAGAAGACGACATGTTCGTATTTGACTGGTAGATACTTAGAAAGAATGTCGTTCGTTCGACGGATAATAAACTTGTTCACAAGAGCCAACAGCTCTGCAAGCCGTTCATCACCCTTCTGGCGATCCGCATCAGTACCATCCGCGTCGCGACCTCTCAATATGGGAATTTCGTATTGCTTGCGGAATTCATTACGAGTTCCAAGATAGTTCGGATTAGCAAAGTTAAGAAGGGAGAAGTATTCCGAAAGGTCGTTCTGAATGGGGGTGCCAGATAAGATAACGCGCTTTTGAACATTTAGGCCATTAAGTGCAGTAAATGTTTGACTTTCCCCGTTTTTCAGTCGGTGTCCCTCGTCACAAAGAAGTAGGCCGATGGGCGTGTTGGCTAACTCGCCGATGTTGAGACGCAGCGTTTCGTACGAAACAATCAAAACGGGTCTGACCACTGCCCGCCCCGTTGCAACAGACCATTGTCGAATTTGCTGAATCAGCTCTTCTTTAGAGGCCTTCCCGTCGATAGCAAATGGGTTGATCGCATCCTTTCCAAGCCATTTGATGAGTTCATTTGCCCAATTCCTTACTAGACTAGACGGACAAGCTATTACGCACTTTTGAATCGTCGTTCTTCCGGCGTCAGGAGCCTGTTTCAGAAGAGTCCACATTAATGTGATACATTGAAGCTGGGCTCATTAGTACGCAAAGGTGGCATAGGGAGTTTATGGGACCCACTGTTTTGCCCAGACCCATCTCGTCGGCCATGATGCATCCGTTCGCTTTCGGGTCGATCATGCCTGTGGTAGCTCGATACAAGAATTTTACGCCCTCGACTTGATGAGGACGAAGAACCTTGGCAAGTCGTGGGTCAATGACCACAGGCACCCTTGGTCGCTCGTCTACTTTCTTTTTAATGCCTAATATTTCTGCAAGGCTCTTGTGAACTAAAGGAGCATCTAAGCTCTTAATTTCTTCCTGGCTCAACTTTTCTATTGCATCTTCCTTTGGGACAGGCTTGTCATCGACCGTCGGGTCGTACAACACAATGGCAAATTCCCCGCTCGGATCATGCAATGGTCGGGCAACGAACACTCGCCCTTGCCGCATCCCCAGAAGTGGAGCTGGTCTGAACGGATTGTAGGAGCCATTCTCCTTATTCTTTAATGGAACGATAAATTTCTGCTTAAATGTAGTGTCCTTATCTTTAGCCTTAAATACAGGGAAGCGATTAACATCTCGAGTAACAAGAGCTAGCCTGTCGTTGTTCGTATACACGTTATCTTCACCATCATTGTCGCCATCTGCTCCAGCGTAATTAATCTTGCGCCTTTTCCTTAAAGGTTTATCTGACGTGCGGGTAGAGATTGCGGAGCCGGGACATTTGAAGGGCCTGTGTAGGCGATCAGACGATCCAGGAGCGCCGTACACACGCGTAACAGGCTTTTTGGAGGGTATGCCTGTGACGGTTCCCGCAAGGGCCATTGGCTGATGCCTTTGAAACTATCAGCTTTTGGATGTGAGGGTTGGGGGTTTCATACGCACATTGAGGACTATAGGTGGTGAAGTAAGGGCTGTTTTGGAGGTGGTTGACGCGACCTTAGAATCTCGACGCGCTAATATACGCTAGCACGTGCCTTCCTTAGCCGAAGGCCCCAGCTGTCACACAAACCTAGGCAGACCTCATGGCGGTCAGAATAGACCTATGGAATACTGTCAATCGTGAACGAGCGCATATGGTATTCTGAAATTCATCAGAGCTGTTGTAAGAATGGGGTTTACTCGAAGCTGGAGATATTTTCATGAACTACTAAACAGCTATGTGCATCACAATGTTTTATCATGAGCTACATATATGTTATCCTTTGTCCTCAATTGCGTATTGCTGCCTGAGTAGCCAATATCTTGTGATCATCCTATTATAATAGCTAACACTAGGACTACTAGCTTTGAGAATTGACGAACTTGTCCTTACAATGTAGTATAGCGCAAATCACTTCAAGGATTTAATTTCACTGGCAAGATCTTGTCTATCTCTCCCGGAATAAGACACAAAGAGCATACCGTGAACTCATTATGTTATAAACGGAGAGAATCATCCCGGAATCCCCTCACTTAATGCACCTCTTGTATTAGACTAGTCTATGTGTAACGCTAATAGTAATACCAAACTCCGATTCTATGTCATTTTCCGATATCTATTTCCTTACACTCAAAAAATTCGGCGAAATTTCGCCAGTTGTGGCACCCCGCAATTCTTCAACACCACCCACACAACACTACAAAACACCACAACAGCACCACAAATCAAATTTCAAAAAATACGCAAAAAGAGAAGTCTATCTCCCCCAGGTGGGCTCGAACCACCAACCTCCTGATTGCTTAATCGAGCTACTGATTAACAGTCAGACGCGCTAGCCAATTGCGCCATGGAGGATACTTGAAGCTCCTTGCAATTCCTTACTGAAGTTGACGCATCGCGGCAATTTTATGTCTTATATGCCAGTTTCTGAATGTAGAATTACGGGAATCTCGATGATTTTCGTGCATAGTAAGCATCGGTGTGCGCTGGACCCACTCAGAGTGCTCATGACCTGGCTAAATTGACCGCCGTGCATATGAGCAACCATGGGACGGAATTAATGCTTATATCCAGGAAATACACGACGAAAGCGAATTTTTGAAATAAAGATGCAAAAATATACGGAGTATTTTAGGTAATTCGTAAACCGGTATGATAGCCAACATAATGCTTTAAAATCCATACTAGGTGAGATCCTGATTCGGGGGCGCTGGACTATTCCACATTGCCGCTTGGGATTGGGACTTAAAACGAAAACTCATCATTAAAGCCCAAAAAGGGCAGAACTATACCTAGTTGACCGTTGATCGTGTCGTACGCAATGTACCGGAATACCTTGCTTCAATGATGCACCAAGAGTAGTTAGCCTTAACTCTTAAACCTTTAGCTACCCCTAGTATGTTAATTGAAAATTCTCATAGCATTGATTAAACTTTGAATATGATTGATGTATCATTTGATCTACCATTTCTGCAATGCATGAAACCTAGTCTAACCCTATTGCAATACCGCACGACGATGCGCTGGTCCATGCTCTAAAGCCTTACGAACCGCACAAGATCAGTCTGAGTAATGCGTGATTCATGTACGCCTCTATCCGCCCAATGCATAGAAACAAATTAGAGACCAACGGCAGGGCCCCTTCCCTCGGCCTGCGCCTTTGAGTACTGTTGTAAGATATGCATGACACCACCTCGAGGAGCATTGCCAGCTACCTCTTCATCATCGTCGTCCGTTGCAAGTCTACTCGTGCGCCAGGAATCTCCAATGGTGCTTTCTTCTTCAATGCGTGAGGATTGCCTCGGAAGACCGAGCTCGTTCTCTTGAGCATCTGAGACACCTTGCAACGAAGATCGATATCTTGTATGCGGGGCCTGTCGCGGAGAACCTCTCAAAGTGGAAGCGGACGGCTGATGGTGTGGGTCAAGCAGGAATGAGTTGATTGGTTCATCGCGCGCGTGAGTTGGGCCATGCAGGGGAGTACGACGATGAAGTGGTTGTGTGCTAGGGGGTCCTTTGCTACTCCCGTGGACGCCAATTTCTTGGGGAGGTGCGTTGACGGGCATTCCTCCAAAGCTGGGAGGAAATTGTGGAGGGGGATGAAAACTTCCTCGTGCTTGCAGTCTTCGGTTGTGTTGACCGCGGCCAGATGCTCCGTAGGTGTCAAGGAAGCCATAGTATGAGGCCAACATCTTATTGTCCTTGGCATTTATGTAATCTTCGCGCAAATCGCGGTCCTCCTGGCGCCCTCCCAGATTGACTGGAACATTGTCGCTGTTTTTCTTGAAAGTGAACATGGAATAGGAGCATACAACTCCTAATCCATCCACATGGATCGAAAATTCCCGGAAGAAGTCGACTATGCGTTCACTGCACTGAGGCAGGCGGAAAATGAGCAAGAAAGGGGTAACAATCATGCTTAATATCTCCTCAGTAAATATGAGCACCTTCGGTTGATACAGTTGAGCAAATTCGCCTCGTACTTCATCTGTGTGTAACCGATCCTGCCATGAAGCCGGTTGGTAGCGGGTGTGATAAATGACATGGCTTAGATAGTAAGAAGGATCGGCCACTTGATCTTCCTGAGGACTGCTACTGCGAGCGATCTGATAGACCCCCGTGAATAAACCTATCCAAAAGAGAACGGTTTTTCCGGGAGTTAGCTCGAAGTCGAGAAACGATTTAGGGTCAAGCATGGAGAACAGACCCAGTACGAACGCGAATGCACCAGAGATGAAAGCAACAAAGGCGGCAATTTGCTCGGTCTTGTCTTTTGGAAATTGAGCTAGGTATGAATTGGCATACGGATAAGCCATGTTCCTGCGGCGGTCAAATAGATGCGGCAGTTCATTGAACTCTCGGAATTTCCACTGGGCAAAGGGTGTAAAGTCTCGGGTACCAAGCTGTGAAGGGTCTTTGCGGTACTCCTGGTTAAGAATTTTAGGGTGAATTCGGAATAGCTAGAGCATGGAGTAGAGACTCACTGTGAAGTACCTGAACATGTACGACGCTAGGACAAACGACACGGTAAACGGCGCACATACAATGCTGATGAGACCCACAACCTTCAACCGGTTTTGCAATTTCCTTACCAAATCTCGGCGATTCCTCTCTTTCAGAAAATCGGGATTGAACTGATTGTTACCGGCGCTAAAAACGAATTCCATTATAGCAAGGTTGACATGCCATTGAGTAGTACCCGAGAAAATATATCTATTCCCAAGGAATGGGATCGGGATAGTGACATCTAATATCTCTTTGTTGAAGAGTGCGATAAGGTAATTCTCCTTCCTCATAAGACGACTAGCAATGTCAACAGCATTCAGCCGTTGACGACTTTTGGAATCTAGCAATTTCCGAGTCTCCGGGGAGAGATTGGAAGCAGTGGTAAGATTGTGGTCGCGAAGAGCTATGATTCGATTCACGACTTGCTGCCATTGGACAGACTGAATGTCTCTATCCGGTATGTCCAGGAGATAAGCGTAAAAGTCATGCATCTGTCGTAAAGAAGGAATGTCCCGGAACAGTTGAATGACCGACCATGTCCAGTAGATGATGAACATCCAAAGGCCGAGGATCCAAAATCCATGGATCTTCTTCGTACACTTCGGCACGAGGGCCTCGCTCGTCTTACGGCTCTTGGGAAATTCAGTATAATCAATACACCAGGTAAGAAAAGTTACGAAAGCGACAACGAAGGCCGTTTGGAGTAGTGTCAAAGTCCTCCTGAGAATTATGGAGTAGATTCCACAGCCAGTGTAATAGTTATATACTTCAGAGAGAAAGCCATCTAGATCCGAGACATTAACCCAAAGCCAGAGAGCTCGATCCTTGGAATCCAATGCGTACGGCCCGGTTCTCCCTGTGAGACCCCACTGTGGTGTTGATGCATTCTCTGGAGCATCATCATGTAGCCGCTGATGTATCCTGGCTGCCTCCCATTGTGCTTGTGTCTGTCGGGTTGAAGGACCGGGAACTGGAGGTGGTAAACCCTCGATGGGGGTACGACGCTGGCTCGGCTGACGGGAGGGAATTTCGCGCTCGGCTTCTAGCAGGAGGGACTCCGGCACATCATCATCGTCTAGCGGATCCGCGCGAGTTAGAACCGGCTGTCTCCATGAGGCTGGCTGGCTCAGTCCGGTACCCCTCGTCTGTTGGATGACATGTCTCCGGTCATTGCCAGACGGGAGGAACGAAGTGCTTTCTGTAGTCACCTGGCTTGAAGCTGCATCTGCGAGCAAGTTCTCTAGATCTTGCGCCTCAAACCGGGCCTCGAGGTTCTCTTCGTCTATGTCCATCTCGCCCTGCTCGTTGGTAGATAGAAGGCGGCGGCGGTGCCGGGGGCTTAGGCGGTCGTTATCGTAGGTTTCATCGGAGGCAGAAGGCAGGAATCTAGAAAGGATATTGGAGGTCATCATGCTGTCAATACTCGGCGTGAAGAACTAAGAAGCGCAGGCAACGGCGGGGAAGATAGTGCTTGGGGTGGATTGGTATGCGAGTAAAGCGGAGAACGTAGAGAGCGGATCAGTCAAAGACCCCCAGGTACACACGCACGTCGCCATGAGCACTGAGACACTAGATCATGGCTGCGTGCTGAGCGTGACGAGTTGGAGAAGGCGCGCCGTTGGTGAATGGGAGTCACATGTGCAGTCGCCGCAGGCCCACGCGTCATTCAAGGGCCCTCCCCACGCCAAGCCCTTCGGCGAACGGATAAACCCTGGACGAAAACAATGGAAACCCCAAAACATAACAGTTGACGAGTGCTAGCAATAAAAACCCCTTAGACACGGCAATTCAGCGAGTCGAATATTGAAGGCCCACGTTTAGAGCGTAAGGTTGAAGTCTGCATCATCTCGGCTGTAATGGAATAAGCGGCCCAGTCCACCAAAAACCCACAAACATGGCGACCAGCTATTTCCAGGAGCGTTCAATTCCATCCTCGAAAGATGGCCTTTCTCCTGCTTCTCCGGCGGTAGGGACATCGTCACGTGGAGCGAATACTCTGTCCAGCAGAATAACGAGCGTGCTTTCTGCGTCCTATGCCGACCTTGAAATTCGCGATGCTTTAAAGACCCTTGATGCCCGCGATGTGCGGAACAATGCTGAAACGCGTCGCCAGATCCGTCTGGACGTTCAGAAGGAAGTCATTCAATGTAATGGCGAAATAGTTAGAGATTTTGGAAGCGTTGCGGAGGTCTGTATATGTCTCTTCAGATGCATATGTAACTACTGAAGTTTGTTAGCAATTGAGACGAATAGGCACTGCTATCAGCAGCTTAAACAAGTATTGCGCGGACATGAGAAGCCATATCTCGGCAGCAAATCGGGAGACCGCTCCAGTCTTAGAAGAGGCGGCTAGCCTCATAACCCAGAAGAGGCAGGTCGAAACAAAGCACAAGATACTCCTCGCTTTCAGTTCTCACTTTCTTACATCAGAAGATGAATCTACAATTCTAACTTCAACTGTTGAGCCTGTAAATGAAGAGTTCTTCCAGACTCTCACAAGGGTGAAAAAAATCCACCACGATTGTCAGGTGCTTTTAGGAACTGAAGACCAAAGATTAGGCTTGGAGGTTCTAGAGCAGAGTTCAAAGCAACTTAATGCTGCCTTCCAAAAGTTATACCGCTGGATACAGCGTGAATTTAAAAGCCTCGATCTTGAGAACCCACAGATAAATGCGTCTATCAGACGTTCATTGCGGGTGCTGGCTGAAAGGCCAACTTTATTCCAGAGTTGTCTGGACTCCTTTGCAGAAGCGCGCGAAAATATTTTGTCCGATTCATTTTATACGGCCTTGACTGGTTCAACATCGGATTCGAACAGTATTACGACCAAGCCTATCGAGTTTCACGCC